TGAATCTCATTTTTATTCTACTAGCAGAGCTGCCTTTTAATCACAAAATTGAATTGGTAAAGGTCTATTTTCCAGTCGGTCACATTAGATACTATTCATACTTTATTAACTGTAGACTTTACTTAACTTTTTCTTCATACATTTTCTTTCAGGAAATAATCATATATGCCCAAATGACTGGCTGCTGAATGAAGGGAAGTGTTACAAGTTTTCAAATTTTTCTAAAACTTGGAATGAGAGTCAGCGTGATTGTTCAAAGCTTCAGGCACATTTGCCCGTGATTCACAATTTGAAAGAGCTGGTGAGGAGTCAAAAACAGGGTCTAAGTGCCCAAGGAAAAATTCTAGGTGCAATTCTAAAAAGTGTGGGTGGAATAAAAATAAAAATAAAAATAAAAATAAAATAAAATAAAATAAAAAAAGTGTGGGTGGTTTATAGTCATTGATTTGGACATCCATGAGCCCTAATATAATTACTATTGTTTATGATTTAAAAACCACTATTATTTATGAAAGAAATGATTATTTTCTTTATCAAGTACCTTACTCTGGCACATTACCGTACTCTATAGAAGGCATTGACATGTTTTTGAATAAATGAATGAGTGAATATACTGTTTTGTCTCTAGGAATTCATACAGAAGAGTTTAAAACCTGGATTTCCTAGTTGGATTGGATTATACATTATATCCCCAGGAAAGCAATGGATGTGGATAAATGAACACCCACTTGTGGAACTAAAAAAGTAAGTAGTGATTTGAAGCAAAGGGATGGTGTAATGATGCTGTTTTCCTTGAGTTTCAAGATTTTTCTTTCTTCCTTCTTACCTGCCTTTTTTAAAAATTATTTTTCTCTCCTTTCTTCTTTCTGTCTCCCCCTTTTTTTTGGGGGGGAGGAGGAACAGGTAGGAATTAAATAATGTTGAGAAATATGGTAGAGTTAGAAATGCTTCTTGAATTGATATTTGAAAGTATAATTTAAAATTCTGCCCTTAGAAAATTCTTCCAAACTTATTAATATCAATTTGTTCATCTGTATGAAAAGAGGAACGGCCGAAACCGGTTTGGCTCAGTGGATAGAGCGTCGGCCTGCGGACTGAAGGGTCCCGGGTTCGATTCCGGTCAGGGGCATGTACCTGGGTTGCGGGCACATCCCCAGTGGGAGGCGTGCAGGAGGCAGCTGGTCGATGTTTCTCTCTCATCGATGTTTCTAACTCTCTCTCTCCTTTCCTCTCTGTAAAAAATCAAAAAATATATTAAAAAAAAAGAAAAGAAAAGAGGAACAAAGCTTTCCTCACAATGTTCTTGTGTGAACAACATAAGGTAACACATGGAAGTGTGCTTTAGCATTCTTCACTTGATCTTAGCCAGAAGGTCGAGAAGCGATATAACATTCTTAAGTGTCACATACATTCACCGGTTCTCCTACGCACACTCATTTTCTTTGCACGTTACACTATTAGAACCCCTGAGACCTGGCAAGTTGCAGCAAAGCCATGGAGTCAGAGTTATTTCAGTCTGGATATTTATTTTTCTATTCTCCATCATCTTTCATGAATGTAAAACTAAGGCATCCGGTACTATTCACTTTTTTGGGACTTACTTTGATTATAATCTTTGAAAATATTAGTAAAACATATGTAGGCTCATTTTACTTGAAAACTGACATATTGTTAGGGTAACACATCTTGTAAAGCTTTAATTTAATTATTTAACAAAAATGATGTGCAGATGGTTATAATAGTGTTTGGTTTTTATATTTTAAATAAGAATCAGTAACTAAAAACGTTGTTAAGAAAGTAGCTTTCTCCAAAAATATTCTAACTGCACATTTTCCTAGTCCTGTTACACTATGGAAGTTAAACAAGGAAGTTAACATTATCTAAACAGTTTTACTTAACTTTAAAAAGTCATTCTTTTTTTCTATGTTACTGCTTTGTAACTCTCATTAATATGTTACATCTTTACCAAAACTACCATTGTAACATCCAATTACCTTTTAAAGAACGGTATTTATGCTGCCATGTGGAAAATATAGAAACCAAATTGAAACTGAAGTTCATTTAGAAGCCATGACCAGAGATATGGAAGAAGTAGGTACCAGTAGCCTGGATTAGAAGTGAATAAATATGAGGATTTATCTTGGGATAGAATATACAGGACTTGCTGATACACTTAAGGCGAGAATGGAGAGGGAAGGAAGAGACAGGGATGCTTCTAGTGTTCGAGTTTGAGCTTCAGTGCTGATACTATTCCAATAAGAGAGACATTTGGTTGGAGATTCAAGGGGCAGGGGAGAGCTTGACCGGCAAGCAAATCAAGAGTGCCCAAATACAATCATTGGCAACATTTTGTCTGCTGGGGAGTTACCTGTACAAGTTTGGCTGGAGAAGACTTTAATAAATACAATCATCATTATAAATAATATAAATTGTATAAAGTCTGCCCTTTATCTCCTAGTTTTTCAGTGATTGGACCAACTGATAGCATGAGCTGTGCTGTCACAACAAGAAATCAAGTGTATTCTGAAGACTGTGGCTCCAAATTTAATGGCATTTGTCAGAGAGATGTTGTCTGAACAATAAAAGCAAACCTGTGCATTTAAATAAGAAAGTGGAAGAAATGTGTATGGATGTTAACAGTGACTATCCATTTCTTTAGATAAACTTACTTTGTTTTCACTCAAATATAAATTTTTAAACTATTTTGTACAGAAATAAAACTTCAAAATAAAAAATATATTAATTTATTTTTAGACAAGAAAACAGAATTCCTTATTGTTTTAATGTCTAAAAAATAATTAAATTTAATCTTTTTCTAATCCTGCCTAATCCCCATGGGTGTTCTATTCCTTGATCTCTAACTCTTTCTGAGCATTTGGTAAGATAATAGACCAGGCACATAGATACAGATATGCCATTTTTTTCTTCATGGTGGGCTTTTACCCAAAGTTGACTATTTTCAATTTTATCAAAAAGAAATAAAACTTTCAGCTGGTAATAAAGTATTCAGATGTTGTAAGCATAATCTGTCTATTTGTAGTAACATAAAATTTTGTTTTTAGTGTGTTTTTAAAATTTATCCTCCGTTAATTAAATTTATTTTAAATATATTGAGAACTGTCTTATCCCCTTAGTTTTCTAACTGAAATTTTATAAAAAGTAAAATTTCTAATTTTTCCTCTCATTTATTCAAAACACATTCATATTACAAAATAAATACCAAAGTTTGTGTCCACCTTATAAGTGAGGTAGTTATTTAAGTTCAAGAAGTTGTGTATAGTTAATTCTAAATCATCAGGAATTTATATCCTATCAACTGTGACTCAAGGAAAAAAAAAGATGGATAAGTTACTCTAAATTGCTAAGCAATTAACAAAATTAACTTGTAACCATGAACCAACAATAAAAATAAAACCTATTTAATGAACCAAATTTAACACATCTACCTGTAATGCCCAAATAGTGTCTAAAAATTATTATTTTCAAATTTTCTTGGTTGCAACATGATGATGCATAGATGTAATATGCCCATACTTGATTACATGCTGACATTTGCCAGGATTAGTTCAAGTATTTGCTTTTACATAAAAGGAATGATGGGTGGGGTTCATAAAAATCTCCTTTTATCATTTATCAGAAAATTTCAACTAAATGAAGAAATTAAGCTCCATTAAAGATATTTATAAAGGACTTGTTTGTATGTGTTTACCCTATAACCTAGATACTCCCTTTTTCTCTAGAATCTCTATTACTCTATCTCAGGGGTGGGCAAACAATGCTTCCTTCATCTTGGACTGATCGGGTTGTAGCTTTGATTTCTGTGACCACCTCAGGAGTTTTTTCTGAAATAAACTGTTTCCCTTTGATCATACCTGCAGGTGGGGGCTTTGATGAGATGACTGAGAGGCTCATCTTCCTACTAGGGGCCTGATGCACGAAATTTGCGCACTGGAGAGGGGTCCCTGAGTCTAGCCTGCCCCCTCTCACAGACTGGGAGCCCTCAGGTGATGTCCTACTGATGGCTTAGGCCCGCTGGAAGCAGGCCTAAGCTGCAGTCTGGCCTTCCTCTGTGGGAGGCAACCCGGCTGATCAGGGGAAGGTGCCAGCCCCATCACCCTGCTGTGGCAGCCACTGCCAGCCACTGCAGCCACCAAGGTGTTTTCATCAACACGGACTCCAGTCCCTTCACCATGAAAAAATGGCAATTTTCTTTAGGCATTTTCAAGATGTGTCTTTCATAGGATATGACATTTCTTTCTCTTTTTTTATCCTCACCTCAGGATATGACATTTCTTAGCCCTCCAGCAGCGGCCCTTCATTTTTTCCTCCAGTAGTGAGGTGGAAAAACCCTAGATCAGCTTTTTGAATTCTTGTTACCCAAGTTACCAAGAACATTACCAGTGGCATACAGGGAGCTTAACTAATGAGCTGTTAGAAAAGGTGTTTCCCCTGTAGCTTACCCACAGAGGCAGGACTGCTGGCAAGCCTAGGCTGGCACACCCCCTCTCTCTGGGTCTGCTCATGCCTCCAATGTGAATTGGGGAGGGCCCCCCAGCTCTGATCAAGCCTCTACCACAGCTTGGGCAGGACCACCTACTCCGCCCCCACTCCAATCAAGCCTCTGTGATGACTTGGGCAGGGCCCCTCGCTCTGATCAAGCCTATGCTGTGGCTTGGGCAGGGCCCCCTGGCTCCTCTCTGGCCCTGCTCAAGCCTCTGTTGTCCCCCTCCCCCATGGCGCAAGGCCAGCAGGCCAGGTGTGGCCAAGGCTGTTCTAGGATCGAGGCTGCTCAAGGCCTACGCTAGGGCCTGCAGGCTCTGAGCTGCCTGGGTCCCTAGGCCGCTGGGTGTCTGCATATGCAAATTAACCCGCCATATTTTCTGGGTTAATTTGCATACTCACTCCTGATTGGCTGGTGCGTGTGGCTTGTGGGTGTGGCTTGTCAGTGTAGCAGGGGTATGGTCAATTTGCATGTTTCTCTTTTATTAGATGGGATGATGCCCCTCCAGCTTCCTCATTTTACTTGTTGGGAGTTTTCTCTAACTTCTTCCTATCCTGCCACACGTTCACAGCCTCAGAAGTGAAAAATAACTTTAGTTTTTCATGTTATTTTTTGTATGCTCACCTGAGTATCTGTTTATTGATTTGAGAGAGAGAGAGGAGACGGGAGAGAGAAACATCATTCTGTTTCCTCCTGAATGTGTTCCCACCTGGAATCTAACCTGAAACCTAGGTATCTGTCCTGAGCAGGAACCCGCAACCTTTTGGTGTACAGGAAAATGCTCCAATCAACTGAGCTATCCAGCCAGTGCTAGTCTATTCCCAAACTGTGGTAGTCATTTCCCAGTTTTTTTTCTCTATTAAAATCTAGGTTTGCTGCAAATCCACTTGATATCAACAAATCCCCTTGAACTATAAACTCCATCAGCATTCAGAAAAGCAACTAATCCATTCCCGGCAATGTCAAACCTAAAAAAGAAACAACAAAAATCAGTTTGGAAACCATGTACAACTGTAACAAAAAATAAAATTAAGAATACAGTGATTTTTACCAGCAGGTGTTGCTCAGTGGTTGAGCATTGACCTATGAACCAGGAGGTCACAGTTTGATTCCTGGTCAGGACACATGCCCCAGTTGCAGGATCGATCCCCAGTAGGGGGCATGCAGGAGGCAGCAGATCAATGATTCTCTCTGATCATTGATGTTTCTCTCTCTTTCTCTCCCTACCTCTCTGAAATCAATAAAAATATATGTTTTTAAAAATACAGTGATTTGAAACACTTTATACCAGACACTGAGATCCATACTCACCCATCACGGTATGCTACACAAAAATATGTGTTACATTAAAGAAATGGAAGATTGAATGTAATTCAATTATTAGTGTAATCTGTAACATTATTAGTGTAACATTATTTAGAACAATAGGAAGACAGATATAGGCAGACATGGAAAAGTCAATGATATAAATATATCTCTATTTCTATTACATTTACCTATATCTACCTCTATCTATCACCTATCTATCTATCTATCCATCCATCTATTTTCTATTTATCAATCATCTATCTATCAGGAGTCACTAAATCTAAAGGTCTCTGGAATTTATTTTAAAAGCAGTTTTCTCAGACTTATAGAGAACAGACTGACAATTGACAGAGTGGAATGGGATTATGGGGCTGGGTGAAAAAGGTGAAGGAATTAAGAAATATAAATCGCTAGTTACAGAATAGTCTTGGAGATATAAATTATAGCATAGGGAATACATTCAATAATCCTATCTAATAAAAGAGTAACATGGTAATTGGCATACGACCACTACCCTTCCCATTGGCTAATCACGGCAATATGCAAATTAACTGCCAACAAAGATGGCGGCTAATTTGCATACTGCAGGCAGGATGGGACAACGCCATCCTGCCTGCCCCTCCGCCATCCAGACCTGCTATCTGTGACCTGGATGGCGGGCGACCCAACCCAGGGCTGGCGGGGCGTGACCGCAGCTGTCCCCTACTGGCCAAGACCCCAACCGGCTCTCCCGCCAGCAGCCTGCTGTCAGCCTCCAACAGGTTCTCCCGCCGGGAATCGGGGCTGGTCTGGCAACCACAGTGGTGGCCAGAAGTCACGCCCCCAACTGGCCCTGCTGGGGGAGATCCCGGCTGGCTGCAATTCACCACCAGTCACGCCCCCAACTGCCCCTCCAGTGTTTGACCCAGGCTTCCGGGGACAGTGTGACCTGTCACCCCAGCTTCCTCATCACAGCTGAGAAAAGTGACAGCAGGGAGGAGGAAGTACAACCCCACAGAATCAGCCAGAATCAGCCATTGATCAGACAGCTCTCAGTGGCCTGACAGCCAGGACTCTCATTTATCTGCATCTCAGACCATGACAGTAGAGAGGTGGGACTATGTCTAAAGAACAACTGTTGATACAACGTAGATCTGCAGCCGAAAGATGCCAGAGTTATTGACAGAAAATGTCTGCAGAGCAGTGCGTGTCTGATCTTGAAAGAAGGCGGTGCCTGTGACAGAATGTATCTGAAGACCAGCTATTGGAAAAACGTCGCTCTGATGCCGAAAAACACTGGTGTAATCGACAGAAAATGTCTAAAAAC